GCCAATACACAGGCATGACATAGCAAAAATTCATCGCGCTAATCAAAAGTATTTACATTTTCTGAGCTTTCATGAGCATTCTTTAATAAATGTGTTTAGCAATCAACTCAAATAATTTCTATAATCACATAAAAAAATAATATATATATATGAGTATTTAAATATATTTTAGATTTCTTAAATATTCTATATATATTCTTTGCAATATATTCGACTGGCAGAAAGTCATATTGAGTTTTAATATTTCTAAAAAAATTAAATAAAATATATATATATTAATTTTGCCGTATATACTAAAAAGTTTTAGCATATATTCGACCATGTTATTTACATTTAATACAGTTTCGTCAGTATACTTCACCAAAGGCACAAGCGTAAACAATAAAATCATCTCAAAATTCATTCTATTATCACAATAATGTATCCATATATTATTCTTATATAAAGCGTACACCAATCAAATAAATTCCTTAAAGTTCTCTATGAAATATTACATGCAATTTTCTTATCTTATATCTTAGTCTTATATTATTGTATATTCCCGTGCTTGTGAATGATTTTGACCTTGAACAAAACTCTTCTAGCTAGTTAACTTACCATTTTGCATATCAATGCGAAAATTTCGACGATAGCCCAAGCCGGAGCGCACAGCTCTGGGGACATCGTAGGCAGCCGCTGTGGATGCGGAGCGATCGTATAAATCATTGCGATAATTATTCATGGGCAGCATGCGCGCTTGTTGTTGTTGTTGTTGTTGTTGCAGTTGTGGTGCTGGCGCTTGCTGTTGCTGTTGTTGTTGCGGCTGCTGGGCTTGTGGCTGATTGTTGTTGGCATTGGCTTCACTTGCTGCTGGTTGTTGTTGTTGCTGTTGCTGTTGCTGCTGTGGCTGCTGAGCTACTTCCTCAACATTTGCAGGGGCATTGGCATTGGCATTGGCCACAACAACTTGCTGGTTATTATTATTGTTGTTGCTCGGCTGTCCAATTGGCGCATAGATGTTCTCATAGTGCGGATGATTAGCTGGCTGTTGCTGTTGCTGCTGCTGCTGCTGCTGCAGTGCCACTGTTGGTGGTGTCGCAGCGGCAGCAATGATATTGCCATAAACAGCACCGCCGACAGCGCCCTCCATGCTGCCCTCAGCCTGGCTATTCTCATCATCCAACAGCGCTATGGCCAGCGAGGCCGCTTGCCTGAGAATGACAAAGTGTTAAAGAAAACATTTTCAAGTCTGGGAAACTTTGCTCGCTCACCTTGCCAACGCGCCCTGCTCTTCCATTCACAATGGCTTATCTATCATACAGACGCCCGCATAGCTGCGTCCAATGGTCATCAAAGCGGGCAATATACGCCAGCTGTCCGAGTCGGGGCAATAGACCTCCACGGAGGCCAGGTTCGAGGTGCCATCATCACCGCCCACCACATAGAGCAGACCATCGTGTGCCACAACGCCAGCATTGCGACGACAATACGACATATCCGCCACGGAGCGCCAGGTGTTTGTCTCGTAATCATAAGCCTCCACCGATTTCCGTACCATCGGCCCATCATGGCCGCCCACCGCATATAGGATATTATTGAGTACACCAACTCCGGCGCCGCTGCGACGTGAGCACATTTCGGCAACGGGAGACCAGGTGTCCGTATCGGGATTATAGCGTTCCACGGACGCCAGGCATTGGCGCGAGAAGCCATCGTAGCCACCGACGGCATAGAGCAGCCCATTGACCACGCCCACGCCAACCGAACTGCGACGCGTCGACATGGAGGCTATAAAGCGCCAGACTTCAGTCTTCGGATCGTACATCTCGGCGCTGGACAAGCCGGTGGTGCCATCGAAGCCGCCAACCGCATAGATGCAGCCATTGAGTACGGCCACGCCGAGTGTCGAGCGACGCGCCTCCATATTGCTGCAGTTGGCCCACTGATCCGTTGCCGGATCATAGACATCCACAGTGCGCACGCGCAGCGATCCATTGAAACCGCCCACGGCATAGACCTTGTCCCCCAGCACGGACAGGCCGCTGCGACAACGACGATTGGGCATCTCGGCCGCCTGATACCATTTCTCCTCGCGCAGATCATACCACTCCACGGAGCGAATGGCCTTGGGTGCCTGCCCGCCGATAACTAACAAAATCTTGGGCATGCCCACGGGCTTGCGGGGCTTAGTGCGTGCCGATTTCGTTTCTGTGGGCAGCAGATGATAGGTGAGAGCTTCGATAATCAGATTCTTGCACTCAATGTTGCCCTCGAGCAGCATCTCTTTGTACACACGCTGCGTGATGAACTCCTTGGAGAGGAATGGCAGACGCACATGCTCCATCAGTGCCGCGGTGAATTGCTCCCGCATGGGCACATCGTAGCGCAGCCAGCTAATGACACACTCATAGACGCGCTCCTCATTTGGCACCGAGATGCGATCATTGGATATCAAATTTATGACCTGCTCGTGCGTCAGATTCAGAAACTCGTCAAACTGAATGACCTCGCTGCAAAAGAGACGCGAAAAACAAGTTAGGGTGTGTGTGTGTGAGTGTGTGTTGGTGTTGGTGATTGTCATCAAATTTGCTCAATTATCACATAACTTAGCGATGTGATATATATGTAAATATCATATAAACTGGTTAAAGTGGGGGCTTAACGA